AAGATTTGCCTGAGCATTACATCCGAATTCCTTACCAAATTTGAAATAAAAATAAAATACGGAAAACAAATACTAATAATAAAAATAAATAAAAATAAAAACAGAATTAAATTTAGTGAGTGCGCGAGCATGTTTTCGACACCGCCATCTTTGGCGATTTTTTATTTTTGTTCGGCATAGCTAAATGCCCTGACAATTTACAGATGTGTACTTCACATAATACAAAACTCACTAAAAAGTTTCAAAAAATAATAAAATTGTTTAGACCCCAAATTGAAGTGAAAACAAAAAGTTAAAAGTGAAAAAATTACGTGGGCGAGCACGTTTTGACACCGCCATCGTTGGCGATTCTTAATTCTTATTTGGCTTAGCCAAATGACTTGAAACGTTACAGGCATGTACCTCATGTCATAGAGAACTCACAAAAAACAATTCAGAAAAAAATTATTATTTTTAGGCTCCGAAGTAAATTTTGGCGGGGGCCGAATGCCGTGGGGTTCGGACCCCGTACGGGACCCCGAACGCCCGTACGTACGGAGGTCTGCCCGGGGACCTCCGTACGTACGGGCTGGTGACCCTGTATATATATATATATATATTTGTGACGATATATATATATATATATCGTCACAATATATATATATATATATAATCAAGGTAACTGGCGTTCAGGACGGGCCCCCGAACGCCTGAACGTATGGGACCCCTTGGGGATGTGTTCGGCCGTTCGGGCCGAACGCGGACCAAAAAAATTACAAATAAAAATATAAAAATTCAAAAAAAATTGTAAAAAAGATATGTTATGAAGAAAAAAAAAATAAACAAGATTTGCCTGAGCATTACATCCAAATTCCTTACCAAATTTGAAAAAAACAAATAAATAAGAAGAACAAATACTTGTATAAAAAAACAACAAAAAGAGAAGTAAATTTAGTGAGTGTGCGAGCACGTTTTCGACACCCCTATCTTTAGTGATTTTTCATTTTGTTTTGGCATAACCAAATGCCCTGAAAATTTACAGATGTGTACTTCACATAATGCAAAACCCACTAAAAAAAAGTTTCAAAAACAATAAAATTGTTTAGTCCCCGAACTAAACTGAAAACAAAAAGTAAAAAGTGAAAAAAAAATGTGGGCGAGCACGTTTTGACGCCGCCATCTTTGGCGATTTGTAATTCTTATTTGGCTGAGCCAAATAACATCAAAATTTATAGGCATGTATGACACGTCATAGAGAACTCACAAAAAAAAGTCAGAAAACAAAATTAGTTATAGGCCACAAAATAATTTTTGGCGGGGGCCGAATGCCTTCGGGTTCGGACCCTGAACGGGACCCCGAACGTCCGTACGTACGGAGGTCGGCCCGGGGCCTGTTGTAGAAGAAGTTATGTATCATATGGATTAAAGCTAGATATGTAGCATATACTCTACATAATCACAAATATTTTGCAAATGAGAATGACATCTGCAAATGTGCTGATTTTAACATGTCCAAAGTTAGTGGGCATGTTAAGTTTAAATCAAGTGATGTTTTGAGATAAGCCCCTTCCTTTATAACTGAAAATTCATCGAAAATGACACCACCTATTAACCATTAGTGAATTTGAAGAAGTGCAAAACTTCCTGATTCCTTCTATCCCAGGCTGTCACATGTGTTTTCACGCCTGATATTTTTATGGATTTCCCATTGCAGTTTTCGTAGTAGGAAAGTCTTAGTTTAATATCTTATTCTAAAAAATCTGAATACTAAAATTGGTCGGGCATTTTTTTCCTCTTAGCAAATTTTGTTCCTCTCCTGTGTGTCATATTATTTCAAAAGTTGGTAGGATGGTCCCAAGGAAAGGGATGAGCACTGCTCTGCAGGGGCTTCACAAGGTAGGTTGTAAATACATTGGAGAGAGCATCATGATGGGCAAATTGCAAGGGATAATCTACTCTGGCTGGGGGAGATGTAGACAATACCGCTTACCCTCAAAAGCAGATTGTGTGCGATACTTTACCTAAGGGGCTGGGTATAGTCTTGGTAGCAAGAACATGGCAACTGTGGCTAGTATTGGTTAGGAGGTTACTATCTCTGGGGTGTTGTATCTCAAATAGGGGAAGCTAGGTGTGGCTCAGGGATGGTGAGGCTAGGTTTTGTTGATGTTGTATAGCTTTCTATAGTTTTTCACAACTAAACTGGTCACATCTTCTCAATGGAAGCTGATAAAACTTCGAGACAATCTTAATCACACTAATCGTCGACAAATCATCATCAAGTCATCATCAATTCTCATTATTGTATTCTCATTATTAGGGACATCGGACCCGTTTCCCGGCACATGCTGCTCCTCATGAATAGATTGGAGTAAGTGTTTAAAAAAAAAAGATTATGAAGGATATGCGGTCATAGTTTAATTCACTGAAGAGCATGGAAGGATACAAAATGCCTTCACGATGAGCAAAGACAAAAACTTAAATAGTAAGAGGCAAATCTGTTTATCCTTTCTGAGTCCAATAGTCTGCAGTTAGAACACTCACTAAAGTGTTAAAGAAAATATTTGCTGATAAAAACAACCAAGTGAATGCACTTCAACGTGGATGCAACGAGGAACTTGAAAGACATTCTGAAACACATTCAATTTAACGAACAAGTGAAAATAGCAGGAGAGCACATGAGGATAATCGTGAGGGCTTTTTCGTTTTTTTCTAAGAAACATCTGCAAGGGGGTGACTACTGTCTTCCCCCGAACATGACGCTCCCTCACTATAAATGTATACAAGCTGGATTTCCGGTCTGATACAGTCAAGTTGGGGTTGCTTTATGTTCAGGGGAAGACGGTAGCTGGGGTTAAAAGAGCAGCCTCTACTTGAGGGCACCGCTTGTCAATGGCTGCTATCCATTGGTAGGAGGCATCACTTACTGGGAAACGGGCCCACTGGCAGAGTCTCTGCTAACTAACATGACTTTCATTTGAGTTGATCCATTTTGAACTGCTATCCGATTAGTTGGAACCGAAAACCAAATATATCTGGATTTGAGATTTGTTGGGAACCTTCCCTTCGCGAGTCTGTACTCTAGTGCTTGCTCTTTTCCTGACCATCTGCCAGGTCTTTGGGAATCAGTGCTTTTTTTTTTTTTTTTTTTTTTTTTTTTAAAGCCCCGCGTAAGCCCACAATCCCGGCGGTGGTGAGAGAACCGTCAGGATTGAGGCCTTATCAGTCGGGCTGCTCCATCTATTGGTGGGGAGCGGCACCTGCTGGAAACCGGGTCCAGCGTCCCGTTGTACATCATGGAATACAGAGTTTGCTTATCACTTAATGTGGGCAACGACCAAGTTTTGTTTTACCACCCGAGACCCCATTTCCCTCAGAGCTGCTAATGTTACCCGTCCCATTATGGAGCACTTGTTATGTTGTTGACCTGCCCAAAAACGCAGCTCCCAGTTTGTTGTCGACAGTCTGTTATCTCATTTATAGGAAATTCAGACTTTATTTGAGCATCATTTAACTCCTAGACCCCATACCTTGTCCTGTATACAAAGATTAAACCCTTTTTCCAGCCTTATTTAAACCCTAAACCCCAAACCCTCTGCAGGCCATCGATGAGGAAAATTATAATCTGCGTATGAGGCGTATG